GTTTTTCTTCATTACCTATTCAAGCCATCTCCAAGCATTATTAGTCTCAAAGTGGTTACCTCGTCAACGAAAATATATTGCAGGAATTTTTCCTTCCTCTGATCAAGCATAGCTAAACATTATAACATTAAACAACTTACCTTCTGAACAGCAACTTGCAGAAGTTACTAAATAGGTACAATTAATTTTTCTACTTTAATGATTATAAAAATCATACAAATGAGAAAATAAAACAGAATTAATTAATAATAATAGTAATACACGTTCTGTAACAAGAATCCAAAAATGTGGGAGGTTATGTGAAACAAACCTATTTTCACGAGTCAGCTACAGTTATGTGAAAAGTGTGAAACAAACCTGTTTTCACGAGTTAGCTACAGTTATGTGAAAAGTGTGAAACAAACCTGTTTTCACGAGTTAGCTACAATGATGTGAAAAGTGTGAAACAAACCTATTTTCACGAGTTAGCTACAGTTATGTGAAAAGTGTGAAACAAACCTATTTTCACGAGTTAGCTACAGTTATGTGAAAAGTGTGAAACAAACCTGTTTTCACGAGTTAGCTACAGTTATGTGAAAAGTGTGAAACAAACCTATTTTCACGAGTTAGCTACAGTTATGTGAAACAAAACTTTGTGGTCCTCAATTCTGTTGAATAGTTTTACATGGACTGCTTCTGTCTAGTTTTTGAGACAATGTTTCAGAGTCTGAGCCGAGTTATATTGAAACTATACAGGAAAACCATTCAAGATGTCAATGCACTGCCTAGAACTTTAAAAGACATCTATACTGATGTCATAGGTATCTGTGGTAGCACACACTTCCTAACAACAAAGAAATGTTTTAGCTTGGATTTAATGGGTATGTTGCAAGTGATTTTTGATGTTTGAAAAGATAAGGTTAGGGAGGAAAGAAAATAACTAGTGAAGCACATAAACAGATTAAAAGTAAAAAAAAAGAGGAAATTTCAAAAGCATCCTGCAAACTATAACTATTATTACCACTACCTTGCTTGAAAGTAAAACACTGTTATTAGAGTTTCTTCAGTTAAAAATAGTGTTTTTAACTCTTAAGTCTCTGAAAATCATTGTAAGCAAATACAGATTTCAGCCTTTGTCTACAAATCATTATTTTAACAAATCTTAAACAATGAATTAGAGCAGTTGAATACATATGATCAGTCAGAACCATCAAACGCTTACTTGACTTGGTCTGGAGGTGAAGCACATAACACACGCAAGCTGTGAAAACTTTTACGGATACTGTGAATGTTCGCCAGACTCATGAACTGTATCTCACAGTTGGAGTAGTACTCTGGACACTCACATCCTCCACCTTTAGCTCTGTTTGCCACAGCAGCTGCATACGACCGAGCATCAACAATCAGAAGTTTACGATTTGAAGTTCCTTGAGAAGCATGCCCTGAAAAATGATATAAAAATTCACAACCACAATACAAAATACACAAGCAAATCTTTCTGGTACTCAAAATGACCAGATTTAACAAACATGTTATACATAAAGATCCAAACTTTAAATTTTTATTAATAATGCCATACAGCAACTGTTGGCACACATTTAAAATGCCACAGCTAACTAATGGTACATGCCGCTACATTTGAGAATGATACAAAGTAACCACTGGTACACACTGTTACATTTGATAATGACACAAAGTTATCATTGGTAAACACAGTTACATTTGATAATGACACAAAGTTATCATTGGTAAACACAGTTACATTTGATAATGACACAAAGTTATCATTGGTAAACACAGTTACATTTGATAACGACACAAAGTTATCATCGGTAAACACCGTTACATTTGATAACGACACAAAGTTATCATCGGTAAACACCGTTACATTTGGATAACGACACAAAGTAATCATCGGTAAACA